TGCGTCTTAGCGACCCCGACGTTTTCCACACAAACTCATAGGAGACCTCTTCGGCCAGGATCGTTTTGAAGGGAACACCATGGTGTTGATGCCTTCTTTCCTACTTTGATATCAACTATCATGACTTTATTTGGATCATGCGGCCTTAGAGCTTAAACAATGGTAGTCGGTTCTAAGTAAGCCTGAAGACTCACACACAAAGAACACAATATCTAACGTGGTTTGATATAACCCGTCTACATCCATAGATGAGAGAAATCCACTATAGTTTCATGAACACGACATAAAATATTACACAACACCATAAACCCTTATATTCAATATCCCATGTTCTCACATCCTCTCATAACCTTGAATTGGTTCTCAAACCTATATTTATACGTAGTATTTGAGATATTCTATTTCTTATAAGATTCATGTTTCAATTCCTAATATGACTCTTCTAATTATATTCTTAATAGGATTCACATCTTTATAACGATTGTATTCCTCTTTAAATTAACTTCCGAAGCAAGGTGGTAGTGCTTAGGGAGGGTAATGATGAAACTAGAGAGATGAGAGTGTATGGAAGGAGAGGTAAAGGAGCTGGCATAAGATAAAAGGGAGTTGGTAGAAAAGTTCCTATTGTAAAAAGGTGTTAAAGAATGTGTTAGGTTGTGACAGATGGCATTTCTTGGTTGACCATGAGGGAAATTTGATTATTGAGAGAGAATAAGTTGGAGAATAAAAAGAAGAAAAGAAAGGGACTATTTCACCAAGAAGGATATTAGGCAAATGGGGAGGAGTTGGCCCTCGAAGTCCAGCATTGTTTGGGTTTTTTTTTTTTTTTTTTTTTTTTGAGTTTTGGTTGTTCATTTGATTGTGTAGTTGGTAGTTTTTGCTAGTTCATTTGTTTGTGTAGTTTGTTTGCTGGAATATCAATACAAGTGACTATTACTTTCTAGGTTTTGGCTATTGTTTACTGATATTTTACTGGGTTTATCTTGATTGTTGTGTGTTGTTTTTATTGTGGTTGGTTGAGTTGGGAGAAGATCCTAACAAATTTTGTCAACCTGTCTCTTTCCCCTCGTTTGACTTCATCTTCATCTTTCCTTCTCATCCATGTTTGCATGTCAACCAAACACTCCCTGACGGTACCAATATCCACCCCAAGCTTTGATATCTCTCTTTCGACATTCTCTACTCTTGCCTCCATCCTCATACCAACCATCCCACATTCGAACCACTAATAATTGAATGGACTTGCATAAAGAGAGAAACTAAACGTGAAGGCTTGGGTGACACCAGTGTGGTGTCTGCCGTAGGCATTTCGATGCCTAAGTCAGCATCATTGAAGGTATTTTACTGAGGATTGAGAGTGAAAAAAGGGTTTATTATAATGTGGCTAGGGCTAGACTAACACAAAGTGGTTGGAGCACAACTTTGCGGTGGCTGAAAGTGGTAAAGTTAGTAAAAAATAAGCTTTACGATAGGGAAAACGGAGATTGTTGGGAGCAAAAATTTAGGAGTTAAAGCTATAGGTGATTTCTGAATAAATAATGAACCAAGAAGGTGAGAGTCCTAGGAGGACTCTCAGTCTTACTTGGTGAAGAAGTTCGAATTAGGAAGGAAGTCTTGTGACTTGCCTTTATCAGATTAGGACTACCAATTTGGGTAGGATCTTGGATCTTAACTGAAGTGGAAAGTAAATAGGATTCTGATTCCTATTTTGGGATGAATGTGGGCTAATGGGCTAGAGCCCGATTTAGCTTAACTTGTAGGAAAGCCTAACTCATGGAGTGGTCAATTTAAAAGGTAGATTTAAACATAGACCCAACTGGAATTGGGTTAAGACACTAGATCGTAGTACGTTTATTTTGTAATTGGACCTCGTTAGGCCCAATATGACTTTTGGCCCATAGACTTAGTATATGAGATATTTTATTTCTAATAAGATTCATATTTCAATTCCTAATTACATTCCTAATAGGATTCGTATCCTTCTAACAATTGTATTCCTCTTTAAATTACTTCCATAAGCAATAACAAATTTACAAGGAATTAATTAGGAAAACGAGCCACATATCCCAACAATCTCCACCTTGACACTTCTTGTCATGGGTTGAAAGTTTCACATCTAAAATGCTAACCTACTAGAAGGAAAAGTTTTACACCCAAAAGGCTAACCTACTAGGAGGAAGAGTTTCACACCCCACTAATAAGCCCAAGATTTCTCCAATGCACTTTCGATGTCCCTCGTCATAGGTGGGCCCCCCTACCTACTCGTCTACCTAACTCTCGAGTGGATCCACCACTATCACACATGGACGCCCCTCTGNCCCATTACGACACCTCGAAAGAATATGCTTTTGCCTATGGCACACGAGACCACTACTCACTTCCATGCTACGTTGTTGTCGATGCTCACATGTTGCATGCCCAACATGCATCTCACGCATGCTTCTTCGACATGACAATTTGCCTGCTCTCGGTATCACTTGTTGTACATCACCATGTCAACTTTCCACTCCTCACATTGGTTAACGTGGATTTTAGCAGCTACAACATTATCTACACAAGCTCACCGTAGACCTCTTCAGCCAATCTCGTTTAGAAGGGTACACCAAAGTGTTGACACCTTCTTTCCTGCTCTAATACCAACTGTCACGACCGTATTTGGATCGCACGCCCTTAGAGCTTAAACAATGGTGGTTGGCTCTAAGTAAGCCTGAAAACACACACACAAAGAACATGATATTTAATGTGATTCGGCATAACCTGTTTACATCCATGGATAAGAGAAATATGTTATAGTTTACAAGAGTACACAACACCATAAACCCTTATATCCAATACCATGTCTTCTCACATCCTCTCATAACCTTAAATTGATTCTAACTCCTATATTTATAGGTAGTATATGGGATATTCTATTTCTAATAAGATACATATTTCAATTCTTAATAGGACTATTCTAATTACATTCCTAATAGGATTCATATCCTTATAACAATTGTATCCCTTTTTAAATTAACTTCCCAAACAAGGTGATATTGCTTGGGGAGGGTAATGATGAAACTAGAGAGATAAGGGTGTATGGAAGGAGACATAAAAGAGTTGGCAGAAGATAAAAGGGAGTTGGCAGGAAAAATCCTATTGTAAAAAGGTGTTAAGGAGTGTGTGGGGTTGGGATAGATGGTATTTCTTGGTTCGTCAAAAGGGAAATTTGGTTATTGAGAGAGAATAAGCTAGAGAATAAAAATAAAAAATAAAGGGATTTTTTCATCAAGAAGGATATTAGGAAAATGGGGAGGGGCTGGCCCTCGAAGTCCAACACTATCTGGGTTTCTTTTGTTTGAGTTTTGGTTGTTCATTTGATTGTGTAGTTGATAGTTTTTACTAGTTCATTTGACTGTGTAGTTTGTTTGCTCAGACTATTGTTTTGATATTTTCTGGGTTTTTCTGATTGTTGGTTTGTGTGTTTTATTGTGGTTGGTTGAGTTGGAGAAGATCCTAACAAATTTTGTCACTCTTCTCTTTCCCTCGTTTGACTTCCTCTCCTTTCTTCTCATCATGTTTGCATTTAACCAAACACTCCCTGAGGTACCATATCCACCCCAAGCTTTGATATCTCTCTTCGACACTCTCTCGCCTCTCCTACAACCTCCCACGGTCGACTGATCTGTTACAAATTTGTTAGGATTCTCTCCAACTCAACCAACCACAATAAAACAACAAACAACAATCAAGATAAACCAGAAAATATCAGCAACATAGCCAAAACCCAAAATAAAGTCACTTGTATGTATTCCAGCAAAAATACACAAAAAAATGAACTAGCAAACTACCCACTACTTCGCAAGGGATATTTATTTCTAAATATTCATATTCAATTCCCATAGGACTTCCTAATACATTCTAATAGGATTCACATCTTATAACAATTGTATTCCTCTTTAAATTAACTTCCCTAGAATACCAATTTTACAAGAACAATAGGAAATGAGACAATCCAAGAATCTCCACCATGACACTCTTGTCACACTCCGAAGTTTCGAAATATATAAAGGTTATGAACACTTATTGTCATGGGTCAGGAGTTCATACCTAAAGGCTAACTATTAGGTGGAGAGTTTCACACCAAAAGGACGGACCCCCTCTTATAAGCCAAGGACCTACCCAATGTGCTTTTGATGTCTCTCATCCACAGTGGGCTCCTTTCCTATTCGTCACCTTACTCCGAGCGGATCCATATACACATGGACACTCTGCGTGGGTACTTGGTGAATATCACTAAAGACGGATCAGGTCAACTCTAATACAAGTCATGGGTCGAGAGTTTCACACCCAAAAATGTTAAACTTATTAGGTAGAGAGAGAGACATCCGACACCCCAGTGTTTTCGTGTGGATCATGACATATATTATATATAAAGAGAGATGATAGAGAGAGTAGAGAAGAGAGATAAAATAATAATCCAATTTATTAGACAACCATATTTGATCATTTTATTTAATAACAAAAATTTTGTACTATAAACTTGCATTCAAAATTCGAGTATAAGACAAATTTATTCAATTTTTTTTTTTTTTAGCTCTCTCAAAATAAATTTTGGTTTTGGCCCTAAATGAAGTTAACAGCATTATGAGAGTAAAGGTAACTACTTGGTAAACATGGAAAGTACGTACTTTGAAGCTTGAAAACAGAATCATTGTTTGATTTTGTTTATAAAATAAGATTTTGAAAGTATGTTCTAAAATTTGTCATGTTGTGATGTTAGTTATTGTTTTTAATTAGTATGATTTGTAAATTTCATCTACCCAAATTGACTAAGTCATGTCCGGTTAATTCTTTTTTTAAATTCGTTCATTTTGACTGTCTTAATACTTCATTTAGATTGGATAGATATAGAAGATAAAAATTATAGCTTATAAATGATGTGATATTTAAAACTTTTTTGGTATGCTACTAAACATAAATTCTTATCACCATTTATATAATACAATGCTGGGGAATTGTCAATGGATCCTGCGCCAATTATTGAAGTTATAAAATGGATAGCTCCTCCCGTTTGTGGATACTGCAAGAACCATAGAAAGTTTAATGAAATCCTGAGTTCTCTGCGAAGCAGGAGAGAGGATCTTAGTTTCCGCATGGGAGATATAGAACAAAGTTTGACAAGTCAGCTTCGTTATAATAAAGTACCAAAAAAAGAAGTGGAAAGTTGGTTGAGAAAAGCGAAAAACGTCATCGAGGAGACACAGAGAATTGAAGATAAATTCAGTAAAGGCAACTATTTTTTGCGTAGTTGGCGAGGAAAACTTCTTGATGAAAAGATTCAAGAAGTGAAAGGAGTTTATGATCAAGGTGTTTTTCCTGTTGATTTGGTAATTGATGCTCTTGATGATATTGGATTGTCATTACCAACTTCAGAAATGGTAGGTGAAGCTAGTGTAAAAGAAAAAATTTGGAAATACTTGATTGGGGATAAGGTATGCAAGATAGGTGTTTGTGGGATGGGAGGGGTTGGTAAAACAACCATCATGAAGCACATTCATAATCAGCTCTTGGAAGAAAGAAATAAGTTTGATAAAGTAATTTGGGCAACCGTATCCAAGGAGTATGATGTTGTTAAATTGCAACAAGACATTGCAACTGCACTGCGGGAAGATTTGTCCAAACATAGTGATATAACCATGCGGGCTGCAGTGTTACGAGAGACGTTGAAAGGAAAAAAGAGATATGTGCTAATTTTAGATGATGCGTGGAAGAAAATATCTCTAGAGGAAGTTGGAATCCCCGAGCCAACTGTAATGGATGGATGTAAATTAGTTTTAACAACCCGTTCCATAGAGGTGGTTCGATCCATGGGTTGTGAGGAAATCAAAGTTGAGCCACTTTCAGAAACGGAGGCATTCGATTTATTCTTGAGCAAAGTTGGATCTGAGCTTCTGGATATTCCCACTTTAAAATCAATTTTGAAACTAATTGTGCAGTAATGTGGTGGTTTGCCTCTAGCAATTGTTACGCTGGCCAGCAGCATGAAAGGAGAGCGAGATGTTCGTATATGGGAGAGTGCATTAAATGATTTGAAAGCACGTATAGGAAGTGTTGAGGATATGGTAGATAAGGTACTTGAACGTTTGAAATTTAGTTACGATCGTTTGAGAGATCCAAAAATCAAATATTGCTTCTTATATTGTGCTTTATATCCTGAAGATTTTGCAATTGACAAGGAGGAGTTGATAGAATATTGGATTGTTGAAGGATTTATTGATGAATTGGAGAGTAGAGAAACTATGTATAACAAAGGCCATGCTAATTTGAAGAGACTAGAAGAAAATTGTTTATTAGAAAGCGCGGATGATGGGGATTCTGTGAAGATGCATGATCTCGTGAGAGACATGGCAGTGCACATTACTAGTCAGAGTCATCGATATCCTAGTCAGAGTCCTCGATATCTGGTAAAAGCTGGGATGCAATTGAGAGAGCAACCAACTGAGCATGAATGGACTGTAGATCTTCAGAAGGTTTCTTTAATGCGCAACGACATTTCAAAATTTCGCTTAGATATGACACTTACTAAGTTTACAGCACTCTCGACCCTGCTTTTGCAAGATAATGAATATTTAACAGAGATTGATGACTCTGTCTTTACGCTCATGATTGAGCTGAAGGTTCTTGATCTTTCTGGTTGTTGGATCAGCAATCTGCCAAATTCTATTTCTGGCTTGGTAAAACTCACTGCATTGTTGCTTAACGGGTGTACTTTACTAGCACATGTGCCTTCTTTGGCAAAACTTGGGGCTCTGAAGAAGTTGGATCTTGGTGGGACGGGTGTTACAGCCATTCCTGATGGACTAGAGATGTTGGTACATCTCAGATATCTTGATCTTTATGCAGACGGTATAAGAGAGATGCCTGGTGGAATATTACCAAAACTTCTCCGTCTTCAATACTTGAGGTTAGATGAGGCAGTTGCAGAAGCAGAAGAAGTTTCAAGATTGAGCAAGTTGGAATGCTTGGGTATTCGTTTCAGAAATCTGCAAGAATACCACATCTACTTTTCTCTAAAACAACAAAGATGCCTCAATTACTATTCTTTTAATGCTGTAGGATTCGACTATTCTTTTCTAGGAGGAAGAAAGGGGAAAAGCGGTAGGAATTGGTGGATTGACAAACTTTGGAGACTCCATTAAGATACCGACTGACATTCAGAGGCTACTCATTCAACACTGTGATGATCTGAGAAGGGTAAGCGATATTTCTTCTTTAAACGATGCAACTGACTGGAGGACCTGCTGGATTTATTCATGCAAACAGATAGAGTGCTTCTATTATTTGTCCTTTTACACAACTGCAGTTCAGACCCTTGAGGATCTGGTTCTTCAGTATTTGGATAATTTAATTGCAATTCTTGGAGAAGAAATAGACGGAGCTAAATCCACATTACCAACACCAATAACACCTGGAATCTTCTCGTCTTAAAACTGTTCAGATAGTCAGTTGTCCAAAATTGAAGAGACTGTTCCCGCCTAAGTTGCTGCGAAACCTACAAAACTTAGAAGATATTGAAGTTTGGAATTGCTCAGGACTTGTGGAAATAGTAGAAGCATCAAGTGATGAAGAAGAAGAAGATAAGGAAGCAAGTAATAATTCTATCAAACTCTCTCTTCCAAATTGATAGATCTCTTCCAAATTTAAGATCTATCAATTTGCAATATCTACCGGAATTAAGGAGCTTCTGTAAGAGTTGTTATGCAATCCATTGTGATTCCCTTAGAAGCATTGGTATAGAGGAATGTCCAAAGCTGAAGACGATCTCTCCCTTGTTTCCGCAACCTGACAATGGGCAGCCATTTCCTCCCGCCTCCCTTGTAAGTCTCGGTGTTTTTCCAGAAGAATGCTGGAATTCACTGGAATGGGACCATCCCAACACGAAGAATGTGCTTGAACGCTTCCTTCTTCGGTCAAGTTAAAATAAGTTGATTACAAGGTCAGTTAAAATTAAGTTTTTATTTTCTCTCTTGATAACAATGATTTAAATGGGTTTTTTAAGACTTTGCTTATTCATGCCTTCTTCATTGAATTTATAAAATTTACATTAAGATAATAAGTTTTCAATGAATTAAGTTACTTAATAACAACTTCGTCTTAACATTTTTACAGTTCATCAATAAACAAAGAACAATTAAGAGCAATTTATGAAAAGTCTTTAGAAGTGTAAGAATTTCTGCATGATTATTTTTATTGTAGCTATTTGTGATTCACTGAGAAATTGTGGCCATTATTCTAGACAGTGTCACAAACACTTAGAAAGTAAGTTTTCTTTCACTTTCACTTTGTATCTCTTATTTATTTTTTATTTTTTTGTTCTTCATCATCTAATGCTTATTTTATTTTTCTTATTTAAATTTTCCTAGGCAGGGCTAGCTGACTAGTTATTCCTTGCGCAGAGTCTTTTTCTTCTATATTTGTTACCATCTTTTGTAATGTAAAGTTTGTTTATGGATGTGTTTTCCTTAATTCATTGTACTATGAAGAAACAAATATGTGAAGGTTTTACCATTGAAAGTGTTTGGAGTCAGATTGCAATAGCAAAAGATGGTCAACGAATACAAACAACATTTAATCTAACAACACAGCTTGCACCAAGAAAATCAATGCAAATTAAAAAAAAAAAAATCAAATAAAAAAACAAAAATGGAATGGAAGATGAAACTTAATTTTGTAAGAGAACATATCAACTCTCATTTGACAAAACAAGGCAATCTTGACTTTGAATCAACTTTACGGATTGAATCACATCCCTTGTTTTTATCTGTGGCAGAATGTCTCTCCCCACTGTCGTGCATCTGTGTATCAAAATAGGACACAAGACAAGCATAAATATTCTTCAATACCAAAAAATTGAAATAAAAACTTGCGGCATTTTATATAAACATATTAAAGATGTTACCCAAAAACTAAAAATTGCCCTTCATCGAAAGATAGCCCCCCTAAACCAGCCTACAGAAGAAGTAAATAACAATATAAGTCGTAATAATGATAAGACAGAGTGTATGATACAATTAATAAAATTAGGGTTCTATTCACCATCTTCATTTTGTAGTAAAAATAAAAAATAAAAAAAAGACTTCACTATGTGCCATAGCAACGACTTCATAAATTGATAGTGGAAGAACAGGCAATTCCCCATCCTTTCAAGCAAAAATAATAGACTGAGAATAGTTAATGTCGAAAAGATATTAACCAAATTCTAGCTACAATAGATGATGCACCTGCACACTTAAGGTTGTTTTGTACAAGGGTTCAAATTGCCCAGATGGCTTTATTTCCAAGGGAACACTATAACCGCTGTCCTTTTCAAGATCGTTATACGTCAGATGGCTTGTTCAGTGCAACTGAGTCTTGTCCCGTCATATGCTCCATCAATCACCTGAAAATTCGTCAAATAGCTTTGCCTATTCTATCAAAAAGAGAATGTATAATCCAATAAATCTAAGCTTTCCATTCAAGGAAAAGAACAATAAAATTTCAAAAATCATCATTTTTTTCAACCATGGTATTAGCAGGACTATCAGAATTCCATGGAAAATTTCAACGCATTAGAAGAAATGCATTGATTAATTTTCAACAAAAAGATCCAAGTCAATAACAAAGCTTTGTTCTGAGAATTTGATTACTTACCTAGTTATAATTACATGTAAGTTTTTGGAGAAGGTAAAGGAGGAAATGAAATGACGCGCCAACAAATTTCATTTTCTTTCACTGTTTTTGAGCAATTTGTATTCTTTGAAAAATTGGTCTTGTGTAGTTAATGAGTCAAAGCATTTTATTCATTGTTTAGTTAGATCAACTGCAATTGTAAATTTCCTCTATATTCATTATTATGATGCACCGTTTAATTATAACAAGGACAAAAATAGAACGTATAGGATAAAGGATGAAAAATCAAGATGACATAATTCATTTACAGAAAGCATAATGAGGCGAAGGCGAGGTTCAACTACCTTACCAGTTTTGTGATATTCCCAGCCGTTAGTGGTAATGAATATCCATCTAGAACAACCTGAATCCATTAATTAATTATTAGCCAAAATTTATATTGCACCTAATAACATTCATATAACTACATACAAGTGCAACCCATTTAGAGTGATACGTGATTGGTCTAGTCATTGTGTTTAGCCATCACTCAAGAGATGATCTTGATGGTAAAAGAAAGAGTCAAAGTCTGAAAAGAGAACAGTAATCAAGATATTGGTCCGTAGGTAACCATTACCATCCAACCACAATGAATTTGAGCGACAACCCATAACTGATGCAACTAGCAATCAACAGAGTTAGTGTGTGACAATAGATGAAGTATGTCCGTGCTTAAGAGAGAGAGAGAGAGAGAGAAACTGGGACAGAGTGAGAAACAGTTTCTGGTGTTGTAAAACATATTATTCACACAGCCCGCCGCTAGAATCATAACAAAAAAGAAGAAGTTAATAAGACTCAACAAACTCGATTTAGCATACCTGGATTGTGGCGGTTTTCCTACTGTTCACCCCCAGCTTCTGGGGAAAATGATGAACCATTTCCTTTCTCAATGGTGAGTTCAACAGTTCCTTGCCCTGTTAGCCTACAAATCTCAGGACAGATGATAAAAACAAAAGGTCTACTTATCTTTCACAACAAAGTTCATCACGTTTCAATCAAATAAGTCAATTTTTTATCACAGAGCAGTTAAAGAAACAAATTAGAATTCTAGCACTGAAAGGAATGGTAATTTAAAAGGGTTCCAGTATAGGAATAAATAGTTACAATAACATCAGTTTCCATAATATGCATATAGCAATGCTAATTGAAATAGAGACTTAAAAATAAACCAATCATTCTTGGAGGTTACTGACCTTAGATATTTCAAAAGTATTGCTCAGGCAACAAAAAGGACAACCCAGGAGCCTGTTGTAAACAATATTCTGTGAGATATTTAACATGCTCACATAGTCCTAATTAAATTTCTACTTGCTATTACTGAATTTATTGGCAAATTTATCGCAGGTAAATATTATTAATGAACTGGTTAAAATTTAAAGAAATTATGACAATTCATCTATCAAATATATATGCTGTTCATGCATCGGAAATGTAATATGCTATTAGCAGAACAACTGCACTTGCCTGTGGCAACTCCAATTCTGCAACAGTATCAGAGATGCCGCAAGGCCAACAGTATCTTTATCTGGGTCTTGATCCTTGATACTTTTTAGGAGTGCTCTCAATCCACCCTATTGAAAAAAGAAAACTGAAATATCATTCCAGTGGGTTCAGCAATGACCCTGTAAAATGAAAATTTTGTAGGATAGATTTTCAAGACATTATTCCCAGGCAGACTAAAATTGCTCTTCCTCGAAAGATAGCCCCCTTAAGCCAGCCTATAGAAGAAGTAAATAACAATATATGTTTTAACTTAAATAGATGAAAATCCAAGAGGATGGAGAAAAAGGAGGACACTGTTAACACAGAGTGTATGATACAATTAATAAAATTAGACTTTTATTTTATTTTTTTCATATGAATTGAGATATTTCTAGTAATAGCTCTTTTTGATTGATATGTTTGCTTATGTGAAGGGTTTATTTTATAATTTTAACTCTAAACCTTATTTCCTTGATAATATTTTTAATTGAATTTTTAAATCCGAAAACTTTTGTCTTTTCGTATTAAACTTCTTGAGGTTCGCACGTGAAATTGACTTAATTTTTTAATTGATCGCATATATTAATTCTCTTATATATATATATATAAAATCAAAAAGCCAACCTATTACGTCGAGAAACTCCTTTCTTTATAAGTCCAAGACCTTCTTAACATGCTTTCATGAGTTTTCTTTAGAAGGGTACACCGTAGTATTAATGCCTACTTTTCTACTTTGATACCAATTGTCAAGACTTTATTTGGACCGTGCAACCTTAGAGCTTCAATAATGGTGGTTGGCTCTAGGTAAGCTTGAAAACACACACACAAAGAACACAATATCTAACATGGTTCGGCATAACTCATCCACATCTACGGACGATAGAAATCTATTATAATTTCATGAACATAACGTACTAGAGTGCACAACATTATAAACACTTATATCCAATACCTTGTGTTCTCACATCCGCTCATAACCGTGAATCGATTATCACCCCTATGTTGGTATGTGAGATATTTTATTTTTAATAGGATTCATATTTCCTAATTACATTCATAATAGAATTCACATCTCAGGCCCGGCTCAAGGGGTAGGCAGGTGCCTCCCCAAAAAAAGGGGCCCAAATTTTTTATAATTTTTTTAATATATTACAAAAATAAAAATGGTGTATGATTTTTTATCCAGGCCAAGGAAAAAAAAGAAGCCAAAAAGGCCCAAATTTATTATAAATTTTTTACATATATTCCCATCCGAAGTTTGATAAAATAGTAAGTTTGTACCTCTAGTTTCATATATTCTAATTTACAACCCTAAATTAACACATTAAATTTCTTTTAACAATAAAAGGCTAAAGTAGTCATTTACATGTCTCAAATTACTCAACCCCAATTCCATCCCAAATTTGGACATTCACATAATTTATCTCCACCCCTCTTTCGTCGCCAGCCATTTGGAGCTGATTCCATCAATTTTCTCACCAAAATTGATTGGAATAATCACTTTATCATTTTCCCAAGTGTTTTTCCAGTCTTGATAGCCCTCGATTTGACCGATTTTTTACGAATCTCATAACCCAACTCCACTGTGCACAACAACCATTTTCGACCTTTTCAGCATGTACTTGGCGTTGTTGGCCTTTCCTGATACCACCATCTTCCTCCCCTCAACCCTCTCACCAAAATCCCTATCATACCTTATTCGTTTACTCCATCAAATCGCAGGCCATCGATACCTTTTGGGTTGCGACTTCTCAAGCCTTTTCTGGCCAATCCAGGTATTGAAAATTAC